AACAACAACAACAACAACAGGGCATAAAGCAGATAAAGAACCCATCGCCTAAGCCCATGGTGTCTCAAGGGACATATCAACAGGAAGAGGTTCATTTCTTCATTGTTGACTCACAGATTCACAGTTGTGGTACTGAGAATGGGGTTTATTAGGAAAGTAAGTTGGAGAGTGAGTGAATCAAAGAATATTTCCCATTGCAAGTTCAGGTTTTAGACCAAGTTCCGAGGCATATTTCATCTTTAAATTCAGGCTCTTGTTTCAGTTCAGTAGTTAAATCCAAATAATCCAACAACATTTGCCTTGCAGTTATAAGTCACCTACTCCTTCAAGCATCTGGCAGGAACAGCAAAAACCTTTAACTGTGGCCAGCACAAATGTAAGAAGCCTCAGGTCACACCTTTCCAGAGTTTTTCTCCTTATTGCAGCAATGCCACATTCTCTCCACCACCTTCATTAAGGTCTTACTCTCTCCAAGGTATTAGTGCAGTCTTTCTCAAGTCTTGCCATCAAAAGTGTTTCTCACTCCAAGCCTTGCTCACATCAGGTCTTGTTCACCTCAAATCTTGCAGCCCAGTGTAGGAAGCATTCTTTCTCTTAGCCTAGTTCCACAGCTGTTGATGATTTGCTGGACCATGTGTCTGCCGTTAACTGGAGACCAAAGGGGGCTAACTCTAATGGCAAATACATACATACATACATACCAACTTTAGGCTAAAACCAAAGGCGCATTCTTAGTCGTATAGGGTCACTATGAGTTGGAATTAAATAGTCTGTAGTGGAGTTGGGGGTATGAGTTGAGTTATGAATCAAATACTCAAAACTCAACTTATTGCTATCTAGTCAGAACAGACCCATAGCTGATCAATCACTGTTGGGTTTCTGAGGTTGCATGGGAGATTGCCCATCTTTCTCACATGAAGCCAGTGCTAGGTTTGACTCTCTGGAGAAGTACAGCCTTTGAAAAATAAAGATAAAGAAAGACTAGAAATAGAAGGGTGGGGGAAAATATACCAAGCAAATGGCAACCAGAAAAACACAGGAGTATGATATTAATCTCTGATAAAATAAATTTCAATGCAACAACCATCACAAAGGACAAGGAAGGGCACTACATAATGCTTAAAGGGTCAATAGAGCAAGAGGACAGAACAATAATAAATATCTGTGCATCAAATGAAAGACCTGCAAAATGTATAAAACAAACATTAACAAACCTGAAAGAGGAAATAAACACTACTATAGCAGTTGGAGTCTTCAAACCACCACTATCAAGAAAATATAGACCTACCAGAAAGAAACTCAACAAAAATGCTGAAGAATTAAACCACAAAACAATACAACTTGAACTCATAGATATTTATAGACTAATGTACCCTCTAAAAAACCCCACAGTATACCTTCTTCTCCAATGTGCATAGAAAGTTCTCCAGAATAGATCACATTTTAGGTCACAAGGTAAGCAGCAATAAGTTAAAAAACATAGAAATAATACAAAGGATTTACTCAGACCACAATGCTACAAAATTAGAAATTAATAACAAGAGGATAAACGAGAGAAAAAATATACATTTGGAAGCTGAATAACACCTTACTTGAACATGAGTGGGTACTAGAAGAAACAAAAAAGGACAGTAAAAAGTTTCTTGAAACAGATGACAATGAAAACACCATTTACCAGAAACTTCT